CTGGAAGATTCTCCACCTTCCACACAGCCTTGGCTTTACATAAATGCAGTAGGTGCCCTGGAAACATTTGATTACATTTTAAAAGAATACCTCTCTAAGTTGCAAAATGAAAATATGCAAAAGTAGTATGTTCTTTTTATTAATTTCCCCCTTATCCCAGAGAGGAGGAACATGCTGTGAAGATTATCCTAATGCTATGATGTAATGAGACTACTTTTCTCAAGCTGTTTAAGAAAGACGCTTTTATTCTGCTAGGGCAATGGTTCTCAACCTTCCTAATGCTTCGACCCTTTAATACAGTTCCTCATGTTGTGGTGACCCCAACCATAAAATTATTTTCGTTGCTACTTCATAACTGTAATTTTGCTACTGTTATGAATCGTCATGTAAATATCTGATATGCAGGATGTATTTTCATTGTTACAAATTGAACATAATTAAAGCATAGTGATTAATCACAAAAACAATATGTAATTATATATGTGTTTTCTGATGGTCTTAGGCGACCGCTGTGAAAGGGTCGTTCGACCCCCAAAGGGGTCTCGACCCACAGGTTGAGAACCGCTGTGCTAGGGTTTCTCCTCACCTAAGCAGAGTAAACTGAGTAAAGTGACAAAAATGTGTTTATGCTTTAGTTTGAATATGAGTTGATACACGATCCTCACAAGATTTGGAAAAGTGTAGACAAGGTTCAAAAATCGAAAGCTGTTAGCATTCAGACTGGCTCTGCCTGTATTTGGCATGGGTATGATTTTGAGGGAAGGGACTGTCTTGTTTTTGCTGCATTCCCAGTTTGCATCACAGTGCTCTGGAAACGTGCTTGTTGAAAAAATGTATGGACACACGTACTGAACGGGATCAGAGTGCGTGAAGGCTCGAACTGGATTTCAAGTGTGCTGACTCCCAGCCGGGAGAGGTGGGCCAAGCAACCTCATCTTCTAGACCCGCCTCCACTTCCAAACTTCTTCGTGGAGGCTGGTGCCCTTGCACTGAGTCTGTGGGAGGTGATCCCTGGAGTTGTGCAATGTGGCCTCTTACTCTTGTACTTGGAAGGCCTGGATAGTCCTCTATCTTCAGTAAAACGCCACTTCAGATTTTATACTAACTTTAAATATTTATAACAACAAAAAGTATTGCCTTTCTTCCAGACTTGTTTGCATTGTGTGAAGGCCTAAGGCCTTGAACCAAACAAGGGAAGCTCTTCCAAGTTCAATGTCTTATGAGGTGTTCTTTTGGCAGAGAGGAATTTCTGGTAAAGAGCCAGATTAAGGCAAGTCTGAAGTGGATATTAACTTTTCAAAAAGCGTTGATCTATTAAGAGTGGATCCGGGGGAATCCTGTTATGGATGGCTTCCCTTTTAAGGGAAGTAACTGGATTGTAGTTTAACCTCCTCTGCCATGTTCCTTCAGGTGTGGTCTGGTTCTGAAAGCTCTGTTTTATCACTGTCTTAGGATAACCAAGTGTTGTGTCATAAAGACAAGAAGACATGGAAGCCAGGTTTAGGTAAATTTTAAGTACCTCATCTGTGTTATTTCTATAAGAACCAAATCTTATTTTCTGAGGCATTTAGATTATGATATGTGTCACATTCCCTTTTGGTGATCTTAGAGTAGAACGTAATTTTGCACATTCAATATTGGAAATTCAATGATTTCGAATAGGTGTCAGTTACGGTCTGTGGAACCATAAAATAAGCATTAAAGTAGCTCACCAAATATTCTGGCATAAAAAATGCATTTTGATTTGCATTTAGATTTAACTAAAACCACAGGGACTGAACACTAGTGGTGTATTACGTCCTTATTCTGTTTAAATCTCTAGTATAACAAGAAGAGACAGGTACATGGAGCCATATAGCTCATTCCAAAATTAGATGCTACCAAATATTAAGAAACTTTCTTGATGACTTTAAAAAACAACTAATAAATAGACAGGGAATGACTTATTAAATATTACCACTCTTGAGTGATAACAGCATTGGGAAATCCACCGATTTATTTGTATTTTAGTTTTACGTGACTCAAATGAAGAAACTGAAGAGACTTTTACAGACTACATTACAAAAAACGTTACCCATAATATTTACTTGACTTTTTCTTCTTTCCCACCATCACTTTAGGGTTGTTTTCAACCAGACAGAATATTTTCTCTCTTTCTCAGGGCTTGCACACTGTGCTGTTTTCAGACTCCTCCCCTTGTCATTTAGTCAAGCTATTCCCTATTTCAAAACCAGTATCAGCTCTACTGGTACATGGTTGCTGTATATCTTGAGTTTGTTTGTCTTTCTGTATTTTTCACAAGAATGAAATAGAGAAAATGGGATTTTAAATAATAAAACCATGTAGGATAACCCTCTTAGGAGAGGATTCTTTGGTCAATTGATCCAATGATTTTACTCCATTCCATTCCCACTTTTCAATCGCTTCAGTAGATGGGACCTGCAATGACCTGGAGTGCGTGGTTGTTTCCCTTGTCACCACTGACCAGGGCTTGCTTGGACACTAAACAGAAGGATGAATTTCAAATCTTCTTTTAAAGAAGAGCAATAAAAATTAGTTTTTGTTGGGGGTATGGGTATGGGAAGAGATTAACCAGAGGACTTATATGCATACTAGTAGCCTGGTGCACGAAATTCATGCACATTAAAAGGGAATTAATTGCCCTAACCGATTTGGCTCAGTGGATAGAGCATCGGCCTGTGGAC